CCTTAATTGTTTAAGAAAACATGTTATGACCATAAAAAATGAACAGATTTCTGTTCTTTAAAGGAGGCCTTCCGTGGTCAAGGTCAAAGGCAGGTGGAACGTTTATTCCACCCAGGGTGACCACTACACTTCCTAAAAAAAGTTTTCATTTGAGACCTGCCATTACAAAAGCAGGGAAGGTATTCAGTGTATATATATATACTGTATATAAAAAATTTGAAGCGAACAAAAAAAATCAACATTTACTTTAGCGAGCTGAAGCACAACAGCTAAAGATGTTAGAGTACAGACTCCTGTGTGGTTGTAGTTCTGGTAAAAATTTGCTGTTCTTATGATTTCAGTAAATTCATCATATTTAGCTTTGTGCACCATGTTGTAGTGACGACATATTAAAATCTTTCATGTCAGACCGTGTCTCTAAGCAGACCGAACACGTAGGTTTGCCTTGATTTTCTGTGAACAGATCTACCTCTACCTGCCAGTCTACCTCCAAAAAATACGTTATAATTATTACTGTTTCATTTTGTTATTTTTACTTTTAAAACAGCACTCAAAGCAGCTTTTAGATTCTAAGATTGGAAGTTGGTGGCCCGTGGGAAGCCAGTTGCCTATAACTGACATAGAAGGTGATTTAATGAATCTTCCCTGTTTAGTTTCAGTGAGACAGAATGTGAGGTAAACTTAAGACGGTTTGACAACTTAGAAAACCACATGTGGACTGACTTGATCAAACTGAGACATGACTGAGATGTAAATAAGAAAGTTGACATAAGAATCTGCACATCATTCACATGTATGTCACAAAAACATTTCATTTCAGTCACAGTTACACAGATGTGTTTTTTAACCCCCACATATTTGTGTCTCCAACCAGTGGCCAGCAGTCACAGCCCAGTGAGATGCTACTCTTACTTTATCAGAACAAACCTTGTTCCTCATGGGCAATCAAACCATCATCATCTCTGTCCAAATCAGATTATTCCTTGAAATGTCTTAAACTGACTTAAAAAATGATAAGAAAGTGGTGATGTGAGACCCTGCTGTGTGTCCGTCCTGCAGGTGGACGGGATCCTGTGCCTGGCAGACATCCTGACCGATGACGGCAGCGTGGAGGCGGCCCGAGCCGAGGCAGCGGCTGTCGTGGCCCAGATCACTTCCCCTCACCACACGTCCACTCAGCATCTCGCCAGCTTCCTGGAGAGCATGCACGACATCGTCACCGCTCTCATCAGTGAGTGATGTGCTCCGACCTGAACTCTGCTGGTTGAAAAACAAGATTTAGGTTTAGTTAGAGGGGAAAAAAAACTGTTTTAAAACTGTCAATAAAATGAAAAGAACAATAAATCAACAAAAGACTGAATCAACAAATGTCAGTAAGAACAGATGTGTTTTTAAAGGCACAGTGTGTAGGATTTTGTCAATTCTTTTAGCCGAAATTGAGATAATCACTAATGACAATAAAAAAAAACATGTCTAATCATTGCAGACAAAGACCTTGTTTTATTATTTTTACCTTATAAAAAGCTGTTTATATCTCCATGGTCGCGGGTCGCCACAACAGGCAGCCGCCATCTTGTCTACGAAGGCTCATGCAGGACAAACTGTGGTGGCGGCGTCGAAAACGGTTTTAGTTGTAATACTATAAATGTAATATTTGTTGTCTGTCTTTGTAGCTGGGATAATTTTACTTATTAAAGCTCATAATCTTACCACTTGAAACATCACTAGCCCTGAAGCTGCTGGTAGACATCGTGGTTGGAATTATCAAAGGTTTTTGACACCTGAGAGACACCGTAGCAACTCCTTCGCATTTGGAAGCGGGGGGTGGGGGTGGGGGGAGGACCAGGGAGGATGATTCAACCGCTCAACCACTAGATGTCACTGAAAACAACAAATCTTACTCACTGTGCCTTTAAATGTTATGAACAGAAAGTGAGGAGGTCTGTCTATTGGATGACAAATTGTTCCACAACTGAAAAAATGTGATCTGATCTGCTTAACTTATTAAATTTTGCAAGTTGGGATGTACAGCATCAGATGTTTTTGCTGGTAATTTGATTTATTAAGTGGTGTTTTCTTCTCTCAGAGCTGTGTGAGAGCGCCTCCTGTGGTGAAGTATTCCTCCTGGCCTCTGCAGCCTTGGCCAATATCACTTTCTTTGACAGCATGGCCTGTGAGATTCTGCTCCAGCTGAACGCCATCCACATCCTGTTGCAGGCCTGCAAAGACCGCCAGAGAGTGGACACACCCTACTCCAAAGACCAGGTACCTAAAAACTGTTCCTTCTTCTGGGGGTCTCCACATCAAATCACCCTCTGTCCTCACTCCAACCAGGTCCTCTATATCTGCACCCATATGTCTCCTCTTTGTCTTTTCCCTGTTAGCTGCATCTCTATCCCATAACCACTGTCCCCTGTCCTCTGGACATGTCCAAACCATCTTAGCCTGGTCACTCTAACATTTAACTTTAGCCTTCCTAATCCTATCTTTATTTGCTTGTCAGAAACCTAAATCACATGGAATAAAAAGCAATAAAGACTCTGTGCCTTTAAAAAAATGAATATGCTACATATGTTCACCACGTTTAAATCAAATTTCTCTCAGGTGGTGACGATTTTGGCCAACCTCTCTGTCTTAGAGCTGTGTGCTCCTGAAGTCCTACAAGAACAAGGTGATTTTTTTTTTAACTTTTTTATACTTAACTTTTTCAGCAAAATATTTAAAATGTAGGAAAAACAACATCTTATACCATTCAATGTAAATTTTATTTTATTTTATTTTATTTTTTTAGCTGTCATGGTTCTTACCTATTGTTTCAAGACATTTTGTTTTTTCCATATTTAGACAGGTTAAAAAATTAAACAGATGGAAAAAACACTTGTGTTTCAAGCCTACCGTTCTACCTATTACATTTTCAAGAAAACAGTGTATTTTTTAAGGGTGTTCCATTACCAGTTTTTTTTTTCAAACCAAGTATGAGTTTGAGTACAATTACTTCTGTTTGGGTACTCACCGATACCTAAACATTACACAGACTTTAAAAACACTTTTTTTTGTATTTAGAACAATGTGGCTTGCTCTAAATTGAAGCCTACAGCCCCTCTGACCAAATCAAATCAAACATGCAGCATGATGTATTGTTGAAACATTTTCAAACAAGTAAAAATAAGAAGTTAGAATTTCTTTCAACTTGTATTTCCTAAACATGGAACTGATCAGTCACCATGATGATGCCTACTTTTGATTCATAAACCACTGGGCTTGCCAACTTCCAAAAACTCAACAGAAAACTCATTGTTATGGTTGTAAAGTCAATATAAAATTACAACTTTAACACTGTATAAAAAGTGAAAATTACAATGAAATGTAATTATACTGTATGTATTTGTATGTAAAATACATGACAATTTGACATATGAGCATAGAATCCTGTGTACCTTTTTTTTAAAGAAACTTTAGACTTCATGGTTTATATTTGTGGTAGTTTATACACACAGACACACACGTTTGTCTACCTATACATATGGGGACATTCCATTGACTTCCAGTAAATTTTCACAGCCTAACACTGACCCTAAGTGTAGGGGGTCTAAACTCAACTCACACCTTTGTCCTAAACCAAACCCCCATCCAGCCAATGACTTTTAAACAAAACGGGGACTTTGCTTATGTCCCCACATGTACCAGTGGTCCCCACATATGTTTTGTCCTAAAATTGTCCTCATTTGTCACAAACCGCCCCCCCCCACACACACACACACTGAAAATGTGTTTGATAAATGGCTTATAAATCTAACTAATGTTCAATAAATAAAACAAAATAGTTTGAAATGATTATTGTATTTATTCAAAAATCCCAATTAACAATAAAATACCAGCAGCTGTGGTACATTCATCATCGCAAAAGCTGGAAAGACAAAATGACAGCAAATAATCAGTACATGTATTGCGTGACAACAGAAATTAAACAAACCAAATCGGTTTATTACAGCTCAGCTCCTATTTCACTTTTTAAAACCCCAGATTTTTTCAGGTGGAAATTTTCTAAACTTTTTTTTTGTCAATTACTGAAATAAAACATTTGTTTGAACAGTGGTTTCTGCTGTAATAGTTGTAGGTTTATTTAAAATGATTAGAGGTGGGAAGAATTTTTTATTATTATTATTATGTTACATTGATTTCTAAATGCAATCCATTGGACAAAACAGTCATGTGCTCCTGCAGAGGCTGTGGTTGTTACTGTCAGTGTCACAGCTGCTGCTGTCCCTTCGATAGCTCAGTTGGTAGAGCGGAGGACTGTAGTGGTTGAAACAGAGATCATTAGGTCGCTGGTTCAAATCCGGCTCGAAGGAGGCAATTGTTTTAGGCAGCGGTGGCAGTGTAGACAACTTTGAACTACAAAGTTACAGGTTCAATTCCCTGCCATACACACACGTTGTGGAGTCTTGGAGCAAGACGCCTCATTCCCAGTTGCTTACTGGAACATAAAAAAGCACTCACACTTACTTACGTTGAAGAATCTGACCTCAACAAGCTTTGCGTTATCAGAAACTCAGAAAACTGTCACTCTAAAATACAAATCCCAATCAGTTCCTTTAGTTTGTTTAATTTCTATTTCCACACAATACATGTACTGAATATTTGCTGTCATTTTGTCTTTCCAGCTTTTGCAGTGATGAATGTACCACAGCTGCTGGTACTTTGTTGTTAATTGGGATTTTTCAATAAAACTATTTTTTGCAGTTGCATTGTTTTATTTATTGAACATTAGTTAGATTTATAAGGCATTTATCAAACACATTTACAGTGTGTGTGTGTGTGTGTGTGTGTGTGTGTGTGTGTGTGTGTGTGTGTGTGTGTGTGTGTGTGT